TAAGGGTTATGGGGGTCAGTCGGAGCGAGCAGGGGGCGTAGCCCCCTAGCAAAATTGCAATTGTCCACTTGTTTTGGCGTGAGACCAAAGTGATCTCTTCAAAGTGAAGTCTCGTTTGAGTCTCGTGTGCAGCCCTATTTTTTCAAGTAAATATGCGAGTTTCTTTTCAACGAAAATACTGTTGGAAAAAGCAAAAATAAACTATACGCAAACTTGATTGAAAATTGAGGAATTTATCACCCTGAAAACGTCATTTTTTCTTAATAAAAAAAAATTATATTTTGTTTTTCTTCAAAAATTTATTTTTCAATTTTTAAATAATATAGGAGTTTATTTTCAATGAACATATTGTTGAAGGAAAAAAAAAATTCTGAAAATTTAATTTTACTCAATTTTAGCATGTAATGTCTCTGGGTGTGTAAAATCTCTTGGCGCTCACTACATCTCCACTCAAAATAATTCGATTAATCCTGACAAGACGTTGACGATGCCGTTTATCGGATAAACCGCATCTGCACTATTGTGATTGATGCGATTATAACACTCCTTTGGCTTCACACTTTCACATGACTTTCCATCTAACGAAAGCAGAAAAAAAAACCCCATTGGATAAGTGAGATATAAATAAATCCATCTAATGGAGGGACTATATTCATCCCAAGGACAGAACAGAAAAACCCTCGAATTGAAAGAAAAAATGCCCCTAATAGGTGAAAGGTGAATTATCCAAGGAATAGAGAAAGAAATGAAATTGATTTTTTTTCCTTTCTCATCTTCCTAAGTTTTGTTAAAAGTTCTACGCTCTATGTAAAATTATCGTAACTCCCGATGGAATTTTGGCAAAATGTCAACTTGGTTGCTTGTTGTTTTTAGACGGTAGCAGACGACGCTGAGGATATTTCGTTTAGTTTTCACGAGCCAGTCTGGGATAGACCTGCAGAATCGCCCAGAGAACCCCACATAATCTCGATAAACCCAGAGTTCACCACCATCAAAACTGTATTTACAACTCGACCAATCATTTGTTGTCACCTCAGAGCACGAATGGAAAATTCTTCATTTCCTTGAGCTCATGACCGAACAAGTCGTAAGGGCCAGTCTTAGTTGACACGACAAGACCTTGAATTTAGCGTTAAGGGGTAAAAGAATGTTGCCAATTTTACAAATTTTTGAACAAATACCTAGTGTGTTTTTTATTAACATTTTGTCCAACGGTTGAGGGTAGCGATAGAACCGTAAAAAAGACAATCGGTTGTAGAGAAGAAAGGGATAATAAGTATAATGATGGTGATAAGATTCAACTAAGTTGAAAATCTGACAAAATTAGTTAAAAAGAAATCTATTCAAGTTAATAAAATGAAATAAACAATGAATTATACATGATAGAAGGAAGTGATGTGCGACATAACTATTCGGAAGCATATTGCTAATTTATTAGCAAACTGGGGGGCTTCGCCCCCCGCTCGCTTCCCTCGCGCCCGCCTATCTCCTTGAGGTCAAATGAGGATCGGAAATATCCCGTCTTTGTCACATCGATAAATAGTGAGTGATAATATATAGGTATTAATATATAAGCCCGTATTACCTCATTGAATTTTGACAGGTGATGAATAACTGATATCAGTGGTAGTCATTCTGAATAGACTCGGTTCCATATAACCCCCATATGACCCTCGTGACCCTTTTGAACCCCTGTGAACCTCACGATCATTGTGACCCTCATGACCCCTGTGACCCTCATGACACTTATTTTGGCCCTTACGACCCTCGGGACCCTTACGATCATTTTTGACCCTCGTGACCGTTGTAACCCTATGACCCTTATGAACCCTCAAAATTTTTGCGTTGTCTTAATTCGCAAAATTATTATATAGAGAGATATAATTATACTATATGCAATACAAGAGCAATTTCCCACTTGTTTTTCATTATCTTCATGAATTTTTTCCGAAATTTGAATAAAATTATAAATAACACCGAAACGGAAATCGAAAATTTAGTGAAGTATGGAATTACACAAAAATCAGAAAAGTTATTATCATTATTATCATTAAATGAAATTATTATCATAAAATCCATAAAAGTTAGGGAGCAGATTAATATCTAGAAAAATCAGTGCCCTTTGAAAATTTTTCCATTCAGACGCAACTTAGAAGGGCCATGCAAAGGTACTGATATGGCCAGCCCTGAATGCATGCCCCACTAGAGCCCAACTGAATTCTTCCCAGACAGCTCCGCCTTTACACTTTTCCACTCGAGAAGTGGGAAATCGTTAAAATTTTCCAGATTCTCAAACGCATTCTCGCTCTGTCGCAGTAACTGGGAAGACGGCAATAATCGTATTTCGCTGAATTAAACACCTGTAGTTGTAAACGGCTGCGGTTTTTCTTACTGCTCTACAAACGTTAGAATTGAAATTGCGTGGGAATAAATAGACAAATTGGATGGGAAACTCGGAGATGATTAAATATTGAAGCTGGCAGGTATTTTTCATTAAACATTGAGGGCATCAATATTTAGATGGGTAAATAGATCCAATTTTGTGAGGGGAAGCCGTGATTTTGCAATTATCTCGAAAACTATGGAGTTGAGAGAAAAATATCCAGACTTTATTCTCTAAAATTTTTCTCTCAGAAGATATAATATTTGGAAAAAAATAATTGAACTCAGTTTCGACTCTCACACGGAGAGAAATTTTTGATAAAAATTATCCTACCGTTCTATAAAAGTATACAATGAGTCATCGTTTCCTCATTTCTATCCCGAAATTTAGTAAAAATTCATATATGATGATCAAATTTTATTCTACGTTAAAGAAATTTTATCCTGATGCAAAATACATTTCTCATCACGCTGTGACGAAAAGTGAACTTTTCGGCACGCTCCGCGTGCCTAAAAGTCCAATTTCCGCCACATTGTGATGAAAAATATTGTTCGTGACTCGTGAAAAAATGTTTTTTAGCTCGTGGGATTATATCACTCGCCTTCGGCTCGTGATATAAACCTCCCATTCGCCAAAAAGCACTTTTTTGCACTCGTTACGAAATATACTATTTTGTCACTGCTGCTACGTTCAGCCCGTGTCGAAAAGTGCCTTTTCGTTTACTAGTAAACGAAAAGTCGAAACTTGTGAACGAAAAGACTTTTCGTTTACTAGTAAACGAAAAATGGCACAGTTCGGCACTCGCTGAACGTAACATCACTAACAAAAAATATAGTTCGGATACACGTGGGACGGGGTGTTTTAACTCGTGTGATTGGCAGCCCTCGGCTTCGCCTCGGGCCGCCAACTTCACACTCGTTGCCACCCCGTCGCACTTGTATCGAAATATACTATTTACCCTTCCAGTCCAATAATTTTTATGTAGGTAACAACGAAAATTCTAGAACAGTTGGTAAATTTTACCCTGCCGGTACAGTAATTTTTACTCTACGGGCACGGTAATTTTTATGTTTATCAGGATACAATTTCTCTAACGTGGAATAAAATTTGATCATCAGATATTAATTTTAACTAAATTTCGAGATAGAAATGAGGGAACGATGACTCATGATACACTTTTATAGAACGGTAGAATAATTTTTATCAAAAATTTCTCTCCGTGCACGGTTAAAATATTCATGTACAGTTCATTTATCATTCAGCATTAATGCGTTATGTTCTTCTTCATCTAAATCTACTGTATATTTTGATACGAGTGCGAAAAAGTGTTTTTGGACCTGTGGGCCGTGTGTAGCACTGTGCTTCACCCAGGAAAATGGCTCTTTTGAATCAAATACAAATCTTTATTGGAAATTTTTTACTTATTTCAAGAATATTTTTGTTACAAATAAATAAACTTGTTTACTTGCTTCAAGAAAAAACATTCATTTAGTACTATTTATTAAACTTTATTTGATTCAAATGAATCATTGTTTTGAGTGTACCCTCCCAAGGGTCAAAGAACATTTTTCCTACTAGTGTCGAATCCTATTTTTCATCACAATGTATGTAAAGTGGGATTTTGGGTATGCGTAGCCTGCGTAAAATTTTACTTTATACACAAGTGCTAAAAAATTACCAAAGCCTAATATATTACTAGAACTGTGCGCGCGCTTATCTATTCGTTGTGAACTTGAAGAAATCGAATTCATTAAGCTTCAAATACTCAGATATTTTATAAATATTGATAATGACTTGAAGAGAATTAAGAGAATGAAGAGTGAAACATCAATGAATAATTTTTAATCTTCGATTAATTCTTTTTTTTTGACTTTTTAAAATAATCTGATAAAAATCTGTAATTGTTGAAAAATGAGGGGAGGGTTATGAATTGATTTCCTAGAAAACTGAAAAATTTTTTTGAATTCTTTGGAAAATTTCACAGTTTTCCAGATAATCGTAGATCTTCAAAGATTTTTCTCGAATTATTTGCGAAGAATTTTCATGAATTTGTAGAGTTTAGAATTTATGTATGAAAATCTGAGAAGCAAGAATTGATCATTTTTGCGGATAATAAACATGAAAAAATTAAAATTTGGGAAGTGAAGAATAATTTGTGAGTGTAAAAAAATTTAGAAATGCTTTTTTTTCTCATGATCAAGAATTAGGCAATTGAGATGTGTTTTGATATAAAGATAAACGTCACACATGAAAAAATAAAAAATATGATGCAGAAAAAATTGTTGGCATTTGAAGAATTTGAAAATACCGGGAATTTTTTTCAGCTACTACTTCACGTGACTCATTGGCCAATCAGAATTGAGGATTAGCGGTCAGGCAATTTTGAGATATTTCGATATAAAACAACTTCACGTTTCTTTCATCTTTAGTAAAGTAGGATCATTACTGGAGAAGCATTATCGCCTGTTTTTATTAGTCGTAAACCGTATTCAGGTGTCAAGAAAAGCTTTTTCCACTATTTCTAATGCTCCGAGGAGAAATTAACTTAGAAATCCTACTTTACCGACCGATCGCGAAAATTACGTCACGCTGTCGAGCAAAGATCTTAGTAACTTACCTCTTTGCGACAATTTTTTCGTGTTTATGACTTTCGCTGCAAACTCGAGGCCCGTGCTTTTTTGTACGCATCTCCGGACTACTGAGAAGGCACCCCTGGAATAAAGAGAAAGAACTATCTTTAGAATTTAAATAACAAAATTAGCTAATAACAAAAAATATTTTCGTAATTAGTTTTGTAATTAGTTGGAGAAAAAAATTCTCCTTAAAAATGAAAAGTCAGATGGCAAATCATGGAAAGGCCAAAAACATATCGTCATGTTGATTTTTGATGAATTCTATTAGTGACGATTAACCCTTATGAGGGTCAAATGCGACCTAAAAATTGTGGGTTGTAAGGTTAAAAATATTTCAATATTTTCATCTTGGCTTGTGACCCTGATGGGGTTATGAGAGGGTCAACTAAGGGTCCGAATTTGAATATTCATGTTTGACTTTCATAAGGGCTGCATGAAGGTCAAATGAGGTTTGGAAATGGAATATTAACTGAAATTTGGCGTCATCGGAAAAACCACTTACAATTTATTGACTTTGTTTAGGAGAAAATTTTCAACAAGGATCATTTCCACGAACGAAAAGTAGAAAATTATGTGATGATCAATGGAATTACTAAAAAATTATCTTCATGTTAATTGTTGACCTTCACCAAGGTCAAATGACGTTAAGGATGATAAATTGCGAACATTAGAGTCGCCGGATACCGTCGCATGAGAGTAAGGAGAAGGGTTGATTTTTTTTACTTTGACGTTTGACCCTGATGAACGTTGTGTGAGGGTCAACTGAGGTTTTGAACCTTAATATTGACGTTTGACCTTCGTGAGGGTCATAAAAGTAAATAAAGTTTGAAATCCTAAAATTCACCTTAATTAGAAGAAAGAAAAATCTTCAATAACCTGTAGCATCAAAAAATTTCAATTTATTCAATTTGTTGGAGAAAAAGTTTCTCAAAAAAGATCACTTTCTCAACAAAAAAATTCTAAAAAATATCATGATTAAGGATAATCGGGCGAGCCCGGAGGGTTAGAAAAAAAGCAGCCATTTTTCTCTTTTATTTTTTACGTATTCTTTAAATGATGGAAAAGGCGTGTGCAAAGTTTCAGACCGCTGGGGAACATGGTTAATTTATTATGAATTTTTGGAAAAGTGGTCATTTAATCCGTGATCTTACGGAAATCACAAAAAAAAACTGCAAAACCCAAGGAAAAAAAGCAGCCAGTCATGAAACTTTAGACACATTTAGAACATGTGATCAATGATTTTTTGAGTGAAAAAGATTACCACCTAGGAGTATTGTTTATTAATAATTGCGAAAAAAGTACTGAAAAATGAAATTTCTGCGCACGCAGCCCAAACGAGCAACAACGTCTCAATTACCGATCGGGTGGGGGATAGCGGGGTCAATTTAAACGTCTCTTGAGAAAGAGCGATGAAGCGTTGTGATTGGAGCTCCCTCGAGCCAGTGGTACCAGCTCCTGGTGAAAAAAAACACTACCGACGATGTTGCCACTTTTTCGCATGGATTAATATTTTTACATTTATTTAAAAAAAATAATCTGAAAACCATTCAATGCGTGGAACAGATACAAATAAATTTGATTAGCTCCAAAAATAATTTTTAACCGGAGATACTCCCTAATATTGCCTGAATTTTGAATCCGAATGGGAAAAATTTTTTTGTTCAGCGATTGGTTTTCTGCAGGAAAACAATAGAAACCCCTCCGCCTCACCTCCTACATTTCCTCCTCGCCCGATTATTCTTAATGGAATTGCAAAAAAAGTTTCCAAAAATATTTTCCTCCAATTTCACAAACAGTGCGTCATACAGTTAATTAAAAACGATAAAAGTGACGGTAGAAACCGGACGAGAATTCATTGACCGGGGAGTATCCGTTAACTAGGCCAGGGATGCCTAGGAGAATGAAGGCCTTCAAAGGCCGGCAACCGTACGCCCACACTAACACCCCAGAAGTTCACGATGACGCCAACGGCCACATGATCACTGGTCGAGCCACGATCTCTCATTACATCAAGTTCAAAAAGGCTGTAAATGCCTCACAAGTTTTTTTCAGTCCTTGATATTGATTCGACTCGTATCGCTCCCTGAGTGCCTGCGTCCTTCGATTTCTCGACCCATTTTCTCCTCAGAATCCAAACAGTCTGCGATAAAAATACGAGATCACTCTCCAGTGGAGACCGACCTTTTTCAAGGGCCACCATTTTTTTTTCATCAACGACTCCTTCACCTTTTCCACGAAGGGTGGAGGCTGTATTGACCGAACTGTTGAAATATTGGGGAGATAAGACGCAATCTTTTCTTGGTATCGTCACCCCGCGGTCGATACTTAGGAGAGTTTATTTCTGTTGGTTGGGGTAAAAATAGAGACAGGCATAGATGTGTTGGAAAATTTGGGAATGGTGGTTCATTAGAGACTTCTGTAATATGCGATTTTTCTGGACGGGCCATGATATCGAACGGTAATATTTTCAATCAACCCTTACAAGGGTCTGACCCTTTTAAGGGTCTGACTCTCATAAGGCTCAAATAAATCCACTGATGACAGTTTGTACTTTATGAGACTTCACAAGTCCATAGGTACATCCCATAAGTTTTCAAGGGTCTACCCTTATGTGGGTCAAATTCTCATATGGTTCTCGGGTACTACTCTTATCTGGATCGAACTCCTAGCAGGTTTTAAGATTCTATCCTTGAAATGGTCGAGGATGAAGAGTGAGGGATTAGAGCCCTCTATGAGAGCTCCAATCCTCATAAAGAGTTGATGCTCATAAGGGTCAAATCTAATATTGACGGTTTGAGCTTTATGAGGGTTTGAGAGTTTGCCTCATAAGGTGTTAAAGGTTATCATTATGCAGATCAAATGCTCATAAAGTTCAAGGGCTCTATTCTTTCGAGGGTCAAAGATTACAAGTGCAGATTATACGTTTCTGTAATATACGATTGTTATGGATGGGCGATGATACACAACGGTAATATTTTCATTCGACCTCATGAGAGTCCAACCCTTGTAAGGGTCAGATCCTCATAATGCTTAAATAAATCCACTGATGACGGTTTGACCTTTATGAGACTTCACGAATCCACAGCTATATCCCAAAAGGTTTCAAGGGTCTACCCTTATGTGGGTCAAATTCCTAGCAAGTTTTAACATTCTATCCTTAAAATCGCCGAGGATTAAGAGTGAGAGGGAGGAGCCCTGTGAGGGTTAGAGCCCTCATAGGGCTCCAAATAAAGGTCAAATCTAATATTGGCGGTTTGATCCATATGAAGATTTGAGGCTTTGCCTCATGAGGTGTTAAAGGTTTACCTTTATGTGGATCAAACGCGCATAAAGTTCTAGGGCTCTATCCTTTCGAGGGTCAAAATTACAAGTGCAAATTATACGTTTCTGTAAATATGCGAATGTTATGGATGGGCGATGATACAGAACGGTAATATTTTCATTCGGCCCTCAAAAGGGTCTGACCCTTGTAAGGCTCAGATCCTCATAAGGGTCAAATGAATGTGCGTATTGACGGTTTAACCTTTATGAGACTTGACGAGTTCATAGGTAAAGCTCATAAGGTTTTAAGGGTCTACCCTTAGGTATATTTAGGGGAACATATAATTTTCGACGGATCCAATTCACAATTCTCTCTCTCGGTGTGCATTTGATATAATTTCCCTTCAAGGCCTTTTTTCACAAAAAAAACTCATAAAGCGTAGGTTGCGAACGTGACAAGTCCGGACAATCGGTACACCATGTACGTTTTTCTCCCGATATTTTCCAAAAGTAATTAAAATTTTCTACAACCCACATTCACCGAAGTTTCTCATGAAACTCATCATTATGAACTAGGTAACACCATTTGCTTGACGTCAGACGCTCCATGGAAGTTTCAGCCCCCTGATACGAAGTTACTTTTCATTAGAATACATGGGTAACAAGTTGAGAAACAGGAGAAAAGGCGTATCACGGTGTACAGACACCGGACATTGTGTCTGAGCAGTCTAGCGAGTCGGCACATGTGAGTATCGGTGTGGTTGAACGTACGATTGAGTCAGGCTTTTTCAAATCAATGGGGCAAATTGCACATCAGGGAGCTGTTAGCCAGTTTCTGTGAAAGGCTCTGCGGCATTCCGAAGGCTCTTGTGAAAATCAAGTTCAATTTTTTGAGAATTATCCCTGAGATTAGTGAATTTAAAAGAAAATACCAAGAGACATTTTCTGTCCACGGAGAAAATTATTTGGAGAATTTCAACAACCATTAACTGCAAATTTTAGCTTAATTATTCCGGGAAAATGAATGAGAACGTCGGAAAATTCCGAGAAATCTCTCCTTGAATTCCAGATTCCTAGAAATTTTCAGGGAATTTGGCAGTGAATATTCATTTTCCCTTGAAAATTCATGTACATTGTGGAATTTCTATCTTCGTGTTACTACAAAATTGGGATTTTACTAGAATTCTCTGAGAAACATGAAATTCTATTGACTTTTTTTTTCCCTTAAGATTCATTATTTCATGGAAAAATTCGTGATAACTGTCAATTTTAGTTCAATTATTCCGGGAGAATGAATGAAAGCCAGGAAATTCCGAGAAATCTCTTTCTGAATTCCAGATTCCTCGGACCTTCCTGGGAACTTACTTACTTCCTCCAAAATTTCTGGAATTTCGAGAATTTTAAAGGAATTTCCTGAAAATTAAAGGGAATTTGGCAGTGAATGTTCATTTTCCCTTGAAAATTCATGTAAATTGTGGCATTTCTATCTTTCTGTCGCTAAAAAATTGGGACTTTACTAGAATTCTCAGAGAAACTTGAAATTCCATTGATTTTTTTTTCCTTAAATTGAATTCAAGGTCCTTTTTCGGACAATTCAGTCCAATTTTTTGAATAGTAAAGTAACAAATTTTCAAATGCTCCATAAAAATCCAACTTATAAAAAAAAAGTCTGTAGTAAAAAAAATAACGAAATGAATCTCTAATGGAATAGAATACGTGACATTAATTCTATATGTTTATCAAGGACTCGAGTAGAAAAGCCCATTGTTGAAAATTCCCTCGTCACAGAAAATTAGAAAAAATGTAAAAATTATTCTC